ACTCTATGCCATATTCGACTATTTTCACAGTACTCACCTCACCTTTCATCTACCTTTGTGTCTGTCTCTTACATCTTTGAAACACTCTTCTGTTCCCATCCCCCTCTCGATTTTTTTCAATTTGATGTTCCTTCCCCTCTGTGAAACCTGAAGTCAACTAAAGGATTAATGATAACCATTAAGTCGCCTGCCATTTGATATAAATAAATAAATAAATCTCAGAGAACATCACATCAGGAGATGTAGCTGGACGAGTCAGGGTTTTGTTTAGCCCCACCACTAACACAGCCTTGTTATCCACTTAAGTGATTATTCTATTACCTAGATATGTCATTCTCGAGAATTAGTCAGTCATTGAAATTCTTAATCCAACCTCCTGATTTTGGAAAGACGATTTCGTTCATTTCTTGTATAATTGAGATTTATGAAATTCCACTTGGTTTATTCAACTTTCTCATCGAGACTCCCACTAGACTTGCATAAACTCTCACGAAATTTTCTTCAAGATTGAATGGAATTTTCGTACGACCGACTTTCGAGTTGTTCGCTTGGCTTGTTGCATAAAAATATTTGGAATGGAGACCTCTGACTCTGATTTCTCAAACTGGTACGTGGAAACAGAAGATACCTGAATGAAGATTAGCGAATGGTGAAAGAGGTTGTTAATAATTATTTACTAATTCTTCACCCAGTTGGAGTGTCAGTATTGGCCAAACAAACTTTGTTTTGTTTGGCTAATCATTGTGAAAATTGTGGGTGCACATTCATTCGCCACTGAAATCTAAATGATGAGAATCAAAATTTACTTTGATGTATCACAAGAGGACAATGTTTAGTGTATTGGTTGTTTGTGAAGTGATGAAATCGATAAAGTTGCATGAGGTGGGCTCTTTGTGCTCCACTTCTGCAATATCTCATATTTCTTCTTTTCTTAGTAGACTATTGCTCTCTAACCTAGCCTAACACGCCTGCACCTAATTGCTTAATATATCTGCAACATATTTGGTTTCAAGAGCACCTTCATATTAAGGGAATTTGTGTGAGAGAGAGGGTGTATCAAGGTTTTAATGGAGACAAATTTGTGTTGCATCTATAATAAACTTTCGCACGAACACAGTGATCGTTACAACTGTGGCAAAATTTTGGTGTTTTACGATTTCAATTTTTACTTCTAAACAGAAATGTACATTTCTCAAGTTCAGGAATAAACTTTGACATACCCTTCCTACCCTATAATAGGTATCTATTTCAACAGTTATTGTTTTACAGATAAGGATTAAATTAGATGAAATTGTATTCATATCTTCACCTTCAGGCGTTTTCAGTAATAAATGCACATTTGTGTGGGAAATGGAACTTCCGGTATCGTAAACGCACCCTTTGAAGAATTCTACTGCAGAAAAGGCCTTTGATTTCGACATTTATAACAAATGGCAGGCGACTTAATGGTTATCATTAGCCCTTTAGTCGACTTCAGGCTTCACAGAGAGGAAGGAACATCAAATTGAAAAAAGTCGAGAGGGAGGGGGGAACAGAAGAGTGTTTCAGAGACACATNCACAAAAGTAGAAAAATGGTGAGGTGAGTACTGTGAAAGTATTTTGAAGTGAGAAGTTAACTGCCGAATAATAGACTCTTTTTGCCATATGAGTATAAGTTGCCCAGGGTGCACTACGTGGAGGTAAGTCTATCGCAAACCCCAAGTGCGGTGGGAGCTCAGAGACCGCCCTGCGATTAACACAATTAGTGTCATATTTCAAATCACAATTCTTTGAAGGCACTCAAGATTGGTTGTCAGTGCAATTGGTGGTTAGCGAGGTTCGTGAAATATTAGCACAGTTTTACTCTCTCAAGTTCACCTTTGGTCTCTCAAATCCCAACCCCTCCCTAGCATCTCTCACTTGTGGTCTGGTAACTAAGTACACTAACAATGAAAACCTTAGATAACAAGATTACGTCAGCACAAACTCGACAGTCCCTAAGATAGGGGAAAGTGAATTTAAGAGATCAAATCCACACGAATCAATAATCGACAATCGTTTTGTTAATGAAGTTTTGAATTCTTCTAATCACTTTATCTTGAACATTTCGCTACCTCGAAAGCAGATAAGTGAGTTGAGTTGAATCGAATGACAAAGGTTATGTCCTCAAAAACCAAACCGAAATTATAATTGAGCCAAATACTCCCTCTGGTGATTTTCAGAGAAATCCACCTTATTACATGAACCTTTAATTCTACCTCCCTCTCCTCTTTTCCTACACCCATTCTCCAGTCCCATGTTGTCTGGTTAACTTCACTTGTCTGCTTTAATTATTATTTTTATTCCATAAACACCAATTCCTCCCTCCTTTCGATTCAATTTGGAAAGAGATTGATATTCATGAGCAACTGTAATCTAGAGGGTTTAACGCAAGCAGACTAATTGGGACCGTTTGTTATGCTTAATGACTGCTTTGATCGTAATATTTGGTCTCTGATATGGGAAGGTCCCATTAAAGTTATTGTAATTGTAAATGTAAAAATATTGAATAGAATGCTGTAAGTTGTAGAACAACAATTTTTGCAATATTAAAGTTCATTTAACTAAAACAAAAGTGGATTAATATGTGAGTGATTAGGCGTTCATTTGGACTTTCCGAAGCAGAAGATTTTGTCCCGTTTGCACTTGAAATAGATATTTCCAATTGTATCCACTTTGATTCCTATCCTGCAATAGATACACGTTTCAACGGTGATTGAGTTATAGATAAGGATTAAATGAGATGTTATTGCACTCACGTCTTCACCTTGAGTTGTTTCCAGTTCGAAAATCTTTCCTCCATAAGTGGCTTTAAATTTAAATTTGAGGGAGTTGGCGTTGGCTTTTGAGAAAAACATAGAAATATACAAAAAAACTTACTTCCAACATAGAGATGGTCACTCACTGCCAGCATTGAAAGTAAAACACCATTAAAGGGAAAGGATTGAGCAATCAACGTCCACTGATCTGGTATGCCATCAGTAAAGGAAAGAACCTCTGCAGTCTCTGCTCGTGTTCTCGAACCACCGGCAACATAAACGCACCCCTTGAAGAATTCCACTGCATGATAGGCTCTTGGATTTATCATTGGTGTGACTGAGGACCAAGTTGGATTTTTTTCAGAACTTGGAAACAATTTGACTGCTTTTGATGTTGTTCTACCGCCCCTTGTGAATCCACCAAGAACTAAAACTCCAAGATCTGGCACATGCACTGCTCCACTTCCATGACTGCCAGTTGGCATGTCGGGAAGTGTCACNCATCTGCAACAGGCAAATAGGTTTAAGTGACCTCGAAACTACCCATTCAATTGTAACAATGATTATTAGTGGATTATAATAGCGGAGATATTGAATTATTATTGGCATAATAGAATTTGTGAAATGTGGTGAGAGCTTTGGAGAATTCGTTTTTTCCACCTTCACACACTATTTCACTTTTTCAGATAACTGTAATGGTGGCATCAATTCAACTTCTGCTCGATATGGTGATCAAGACAAATCAGTATGAATTAGAATTCTGAGTTGATCTTTATACCTTTGGAGCAACTTACCTGTCCAACGCACAGAAGAAATGTGGGCGTACAAGGTAAATTATGACCTCCAGATTGAAGCGACAACTCTCAAAAGACATATTTGCTCACAATTTGGAGGGTAGAAATAGATGATGCCTTCTCCAACAACTTTATCAATGACAAACAACAGTCACTCCATGACATTTCGAACAGTTCATCGTGATGGAAACAAGAAATACATACCTATCATCCGATGGTGAATATTTCTCACAATGTTTAAGACTGCCAGAAAATGAATCAACCTTGTTTCGTCCACCAAAAACAAGTATTTCATGGCCAACAGTAACTGCCGAAGCCGAATATCTACCACGAGACATGGATTTCATTTCCTTCACTTCGCCATTGCAGCAATTAATCTTAAAGACATTGGAACAAATGGAGATTTCCTTTGTAATACCTCCAATCACAAAGATATATTCTAAAATGAAGGGAGATCAATGTCAGAATGGTGCAATGTTGGCACACAAGTCAGTGATGAAGTGTTAACTTACCATCACAGGCAACTGTACAGCTGTACTCTCTATAAGGCACCTCAAACACTGCTTCAATGTCTTTAACTTTTGGTACAGCTGATAGTAAATATGTATCGGGTTCATTGTGATATCCATAAACAAATATTCCTTCCCTCTTTCTATAAAAATCCAATAACTTGTTAGCAATAGTGACAGTGAATAGATTGACATAAAGAGCACTCACATATTTTTGACAGATTTATCACACTTTTCCCAGATATCAAGAAGTGCATTTCTTAAGATAATTAAACATAAGTTAAATTGCATCGTATACCTTGACATGTCCGAAAGGGAAATGTCCGACGTCCCCTTTGCTACTTCAATCATAAGGGAACGGGAAAGTTTGTTGACATTTAACCTTGAGAGAATTTGACAGAAGAAAGCATCACGGGTGTCCCTTTCACAAGATGTTGGTGCTGCGTTTATCCATGACACCAATGCTCTAAACCTCGATTCCTCACTTGGTGCCCATATCCAGGGACTACTTAGAAGTGCCTCCATGTCTTTCACGTTTGTCCACCTCAAACACTTCTGATCTTTGTCTGTTGTGCGATATTTCGATGTGCCTTGGAAGAAAGGGAATAAGCGAGGTGAGGTGAGGTAAGTTAAGGTAAAGTAAGGCAAGGAGAGATGAGGCTACTTAGTACACATATGACACAGCTCATTCCTAATTACGACATTCAACTCACCAAATAATTGGAGAAGCTCAAATCGACTGCGAATTGGTGCTTATAGGATTTGAACTTCACGATTCTCACCCTCGCTTTAATGTCTTCAATCTTCAAACACTTTATTGCTTATCAGCTTTGAGTATATTTCCATGAGCGCCTACAGAGAGAGAAAATGGCAAGTGAGCGAGTGAGTGGGTGGATGGAGGGTTTTGCGCGTGCTGAGGAGAAGAATTGGTGGAGTGATCTTGCCTTAATTTGATCATCTTTTGCTCCACTCCTCCAAGTGTCTGCCTCTCGGCTACCTTCGGCAAACACCATTGTGAGACCCAGATCACTGGATTTTGTTGCGAAGCCACTCACCGAGGAGCCGATCAACTTCAATTTGGATCCCGGATACTCCTCTTGGAGGAATCGCCTCAAATGGGTGATAAATGCCTTCTTCAATTGAAGAAGTGTAGAGGAGATAAGAAGTGGGAGACATGGCTGATTCGGCTACATTCCAGGCATTCAATTAGGTGCTCTGGAATTTGCGGTGGTGACAACTGCTCTGTCCTTACATTTAGAACTCTACTACACCATGTTATGATTCATTGGATGCCTGCCTATCTGGCCATTTAATCACCAAATAGTTTCAAATTCAAATGCCTTACATTCACTTCCCCAATGGTGATTCCTGCTATTATACTTGTGACTTGATTTATCTTTCATTTTAATTATTTAATAATTCCATGTTTGCTTATTTTCAAATGTATTTAATGATTTAATAAATAAATAAATCTGTGATTAATAGTATATCCGATGCAGGTGTTGATCTAATTGATGTAAAGCAAACGGCAGTTCTATTTGATTTGATTATTAATCAGCGCAATACCATTTACATCATGACTTTGAAAAATTTGTTGTTGTGTGGCATGGTATTATTTTTGAATTCTGAATTTTGGCCCAACTCAACTTATCAAAGAATGAACGCCTTTTTGCTATTTTTAATGCTTTGATCTAGCAATATTTACTCCTTAATTGAGGGTAATATGTTCTGTATGACGACTCAGCGTTTAACGAATTGAGCGAAAATCATTGGTTCCTTGCATAGTCGACGGCGCAAAACTGTGCGTGAGTCTTTGTTAATTGGCTGAGCAAGTTATTGGGGTTTACGAGAAGATGTATAACTTTGCGCTTACTTTTACGTTTAAGAAGGGTTAGGTGTCTACTGCTCATGCCGTGTTAGTAAAACGTACCAAAAGAGGATTGTAAAAATATGGTAAATACATCGTAGAAAATGGAAATACATGTCTACAGGAGCCGATATTTGTAGTATGAACATGTTGAGTCTACTAGAAATATCATCACTTCACTTTTCTTCAAATTGACGATTGTTGTACGAACTGGAGGGAATCAATCTATGAAGTGTGGTGGAAATGAACTTGAAGAGCCATTTAATCACCAACTAGTTTTAAATTCAAGTGTCATACATTCACTCCGCCAGAGGTGATTCCTAAATTTGGAGCATGAACTCATTGAGTCTATTAGAAATCTCACTGGATTCACAGGAACACACCTGCATTGGAAAGAAACTAATTTGAGGAGGAATAATTACAATGACAAAGGCAAATAAGGGGAATTTTTAGTTATGGCAACTGCTTAAATGACGATTTGTTGTGATAATTAATGCTCAAACGAATTGCTGTCATTGTGTCTCGATTACGTTTGTTTACGTTTAAAGAAACCTGGCACCACTTTTGACATATTGTTCAGGGTCATGGTGGCTACAAATCAGTGCTCTATATATCTGGAGGAAATCAAATCCTCATTCAGAATGCTAGGTGGAAGCAAACACAATTTCTATAACGATTGCATCAAGAAATTGTCCGAAGCTAAGCGAACCTGTTCACTTGACCCTGCACAATTTGACTCAATCAATATACTACACGAAATGGTGGGATGTAGTTGTGGAAGAGGTTTGTTGAGACGTTCACTTTTAAATAGCATTACATTTTAGGAAAAACTAGAAACACGGATGTCCATTCAATACAACTGTCCTTACATTGACGACGCCGACGATAGAGTCAATGTCGATAGCGGCGAGGCCGAAGAGATCTTCCATGACAATTGGTGTCTTTTTGCTTCATATTAATTTCGGGAACTTATTCGTTCATTGGGGCTTTTATAAATTTATCAAGAAATGCACCTAGAAAGATGTTGAACTCCTTTTCATAGACTTTTCAACTGTTTTGATTTTTTTCCCTATCGCCTCCACCCCCTCCCCCCACCACTTCTTTCGAACTTCGCATGTTACCGCAAAATGTGAGAGGCATTTTGGAATTATTGTCAATGGTGGATTATTCGGAAGGCTTCTGCCCCACATTGGTCCCATTAATTTACTTCTCTTTCTTCTCATTATCATTGTTCTTGTTGTTATAGCTAACAGGAATGAAGTTAACTTCTCACCTTACTTCGTCTAGGCAAACTCATGTGTTCTCTTCACTGTGTAAATGTAGGTCACGATTTAGGGTAATCGATATTCGACTCTTAGATTGTAAATGACAAGTGCAAAACAATTAAGAGAGTCACGTTTGATGAATAATATGAAATACAACTTGAGATAATTTGACAGTCATCCTTGTATGACACAAATCAGCTATATTTTATTGGCAATACTTCATATTTCTATTGAAATACTCTTTAATCATTGTGTGAATAGCTATATTATTTACATAAATAATTTTTCTGTTTTGGTCACTGGTACTAAATCCACATTTAATATATTTGCAATTAATTTTTAAACCTGTACTCTGTTCGAAATACACCATAAACGGGTTCTAATAAATTAATTAATTAATTGGCATTTTGAGTGCATATTAAGGGGCTCCATTTCAATGGTTCTATTAAGTTGTCCCATTTGGAGTGGTATTATCCAAAGCGAATTTAAAATACGTTTTACATTGATATATTGAATGCCATTTGTGTGCTCAAATTGGCAACTTTAAAAGTTTGTTCTGCGTTTTTGGCTGTAATGAATATACTCTAAAATATAAATTTTGCAAACGTTGTGCCAACAATATTTCGATTTGTTAAGTTACGAATTAAATAACAAGATTTCTCCTTTGCATATTTGGTCAGCACTAACTTGCTTTTAGAGGTTTTCAAGTGAATCTTGCATTCTCCACTTTAATATAAAAACTCTTCTTAAAATTCAAAATTTTGCTCTAAATTTTCCAAAATTTAAATAAATCGCTTCCAACAATTCAAACGTTTTTCAAATCTTTACTGAACGGAAGTTGAATAAAATAATTACGTGTGAGCTTGTCATTTCAAGATTGCAAGATATTTCAATTTATTTTAGTAGTGTCATATTTATTTGAAAATAAGCAAATAAAGTTGGGATGCAATTTGCAATTTATTTAAATAAACTCAAGGAGATGAATTAAGGGAGCAATTAATATAAGCATCATTGAGGTCAATTCCAATGAATTAATAGAATTAATTCTTTATTATTAAAAAAACGTAAAAGGTAATAGAATAGAATGCAGCAAAATTTATGTGGAAACAAATAACGTGAGAAGCAATCTTAATTTTTTAAACTGTCAAATCACTTGAAATGATACTCCTAAAGAGTACAATTATCAGATCTGCATACGTAAAGGTCAAAGTGGCAATTCAAAGTCAAGTTGTAATTTTATGAAATCAAATTCTTCTCAAGCATTTATTTTGAGGAAAATATGTTAATTTCGTAAAATGCTAAATCTGTTGAAATGGAGCTTGCATAAATTGGGAGTTTTTATTTCCCTGCGAATGAAAATAGAATGGAAGAGTGATTCACAGTTAAAAATATAGCCGAAGGAATGCAGATAAAATTTGATGTAATTGATGTGATGTAGTTAAACATGACAATGAATCTGTCACAGTAATTTGAAGTTGGATGTCAAATAACAGTTTTTAGACCTTGTGGGTAAAAGTAAACATTGCATCGCGTTGGGCTTATCTTATTTTTCCTCATATATTTGAGATTGATTGGAGAAAAGAAATCAAATTTAAAGATGAAGTTGAGATGGGCTTTACAAAAATGCAGATGTTATGAAGAAGCGTTGCCTATGCTGCATAAGGAGAAGGTAGGTCTATCGCACACCATTAGCAAGCTACAAAAATATCTGAACTGGTAACTCCATTTCTGTTGTGAATTTTGGCAGCCAAATATATATGAGGCTGCATGCAGGAATGTTTTCAAGAACAGATTAATTCGATTCAAACACGATTGGCATGGTTGAAAAAAAATCTCGAATAACAATGAAAAAAATAAATGACTGAAATGCAATAGTTTTTTTTAAATATTTGCGATAGCATTCGTATTCAATATTAGTTTAATTTTTTTTTATTTATCAATTCATTGATTAATCTATTCCCATTGCTTGCACATTCTCGAGGATAAATCAATCCTAGTTAATTGGTTAAGTAGCCTTTTTGCCCTATTATGCTTGATTGGAAAGAAAAAAAAGTTAATTTTTAATTTCAATTTAAATTAAATATCTTAGTAGCTATGAACGTAATTGCTGAAAACAAAATTATTATCTTTCATTCTCTTAACATTTATCCAAAATAACAATGATTGTCCCGCATTTCACTATATCTATTTAGAATAATTAAAAACTAATTTGTGTTTTCTACTATGAGGCAACATCGTAATTGATTTCCATAGTTATTTGTTTGTCTCACTTTCGCACATTGACTTGGTTCATTCGTAGCATTCGATAGTATGCAGAATCATGACATTTCGCCATTGGATTATAGCAAACCAAATAAACACGACAAATGGTTTTGCTAAAAAAATTAGTCTATTCCAACAGCACTGCTTTAACCTTGATAACTAAAATAGTGCATTCCGTCATACATACATTCATTTTCTCAATAAAGCCAATTTCAATAATATCTAATTTGATTTCTATTCTTGCGAAAAATCTGTTTGAGATACTTGTAAAATAAAATTTATTATCTGGCTTTTAGTTCAAATTTACTCGCATTACGCTATGCACATATTTTCCTATTTTAGAATAACTGGATATTTGCATTATTGGGCGCGTTAATATATTAAAAATGGAATAAAATATATGCGCAAATATGTTTTAATAAGAATCCTTTATCCTAATTTGTAATTGCTCATGTCTACATTAAAGTGTCTAAGACCTAAACATCGTTTTCGCTTATTTTTCTAGAAGAGTTCATCTATAGAGAAGCAACGTCAAAAGAAAAAAATAAATCAGAAGGTAAAAAAGAATTGTGATTCAAAGACGTCAGGGTGACAAAAGGATAAAGGGAAGACGAGTACTGTGGAAGTGGTTGATTGTAACATACAGTGGGTTCAACGTAGATCTATTTCAGAATCCAACCGTCGGTTTATGGACTTGGTGACGTATCATTTGTTCATTTCAAATAGATTACTTTATGGTATTTAACATTTGCACTTTAGTTGACTTGGGGCTTCACATAGGATAAGAACATCAAAATGGGAAAAGTCCAAAGAGGATATTTCGGCAGCCTAAATGAGGTGAGGTTGCACGAAGAGAAACGGGAAACGGTGTAACGTATCACTTGACATAAACTGGATCAACGAAAATGTTAACTTGGATCAAAATTAAATTACATGAATTGTTTTAATTTGATAATTGTGGGTAAATTATTTATTGCCATAGTTATTTGTCACTTTAAACAGAAACAATTTCTTATTAAAAAATTATTTGTGATTAACTCGTATCAACTTATGATGCTAAGAAATGAGTTCATGGACGATTAATTTGAAGTAGGCGTAGTCGGTTTTTAATTTTAATTTAAATAGCTATATACAATTGATAATATGAATCACTTAGAACTAAATAATGAACTCTCTTCATCCGTTATTTATACGAAACACATATCGGAGTGACAAGTATCTCGTTCCATCTGCTGGTGGAATCATACCTTAACTGAACTCACGAAAGACTTTCGTGAGGTAAATAATTTGTTTAAATAAAGACAGTTTAAAACTGCATTTGGCTGAGCTTCGCGATTTTAAATTAAGAATATGTCAAATATTGATATTTTTAACCAAAATCAATGTTGTTTCATAATTTTTCCATGATTTTGACTTTAATGCCAATTTTCCAAGTTGACACTTTATTGGAATCTTGGAATTTCAAAAGATTACACTACGACATGCCATTTCTATATTGATTTTTACCTGGAAAATTTGATAATAAAGTTATTTATTCTCATTTTTCTATTTTAATAATCCTCAATGCCACTTATCTTTATTATTTGCTTAATTCATCTTCTTGAGTTTATTTACCCACTAGTCAAAAAGCAACACATTTTAATTGTGTTCTTTTAAATTTATATAGTCTATTTATAAATACGACACTTATGAAATTGATTGAAATGTTTGCCACTCATAATACCGTTAGTACAAAGCCGGCTTTAAAAGTAATTTAAGGGTACTCTCTTTTTAATCACCCGTGAGGTACAAGATATTGATGTCGGCATTTATGAAAGCATGAATGACACTCAAACATAAATGGCATCCAGATGGAAGTCGTAATTTTGGAAGATCAATTTAGCAGTGAAAACGTATTTCATGCAATTGAAACTTGGTGTTAGGAAGCTGTTAAATAAACAAAAGAACCACAGTCAACCCGGTTTCGGCAAGGCCACAATCCATTAATGAAATACAATTGGAATAAAGTAGTATCTTTGGCAATTTGTTCAAAAAACAAAAGCTTGCCAACTGGAGATTACATTGTATTTTTGAGAAGACAACAGAATTAACGACTTCACAGTTTTGAAAAAAATTTAAACGATATTAAAAGAGTTTGAAAACGTAGAAATAAATGAAATATAGCTTCTTGGATTCTCTAGTTAAACAAATATCCTTCTAAATATTCTTTATTTTTTCTTGATTTGCTTAATAAAAACGTCTAAACCGTATTCACTGTTTTATTGGCTAAATTTGGATTCGGAGTATAATAGCGATTCCGCATTCAGCTATTACTTCCATAGGCATTTATGTACCTAATTTCGATTAACTTTAAAAATCAACTCATCCAAATTCCCAATCAATCATGAGGGAGCGAAGTGCTA